AAGTTTAGTTTTGAGGATTTAAGGGGTTTTAGGGGTCAAAAGATTTTTTAGGGTTTGAATTTTAAGATTTAGACTCTAAAAAATCATAATTAGTGACATTTTTGCAAATAGACACCAAAAGTGGCTTTTTTGCAAATGTTCCTTCTAACTGATTCTTTATGGCGATTGACGTTATTTTCAAATTTCAAAAGTTTTGATATGTAATTAATTAAAGAAAATTAGAAAATTAGGACACATTAAACTTTTATTATGTCTCAATACATCTTTAAGTACTTGATTTTGTCCCATTATACTTTAATTAAAGAGAAATCTGTTTTTGTCCCCTAATTTAGTTTAAATAAATGTTTTTGTTAAATTTAAAATTTTATATCTCAATATATGAGATATTGTCTAATTAATAATAGATTTATGGAAAGTAGATTTATATTATAAACAAAATTTATGAAAAAAATAGATTTATATTATAAACAAAATTTATGAAAAATAGATATGCAACATATCAACTAAAAACAAATAAAATTAGAAGAAATAAAGAAAATAGAATGAAATTTTTGTTTAAAAATTTGTTTAAACATATTATAAACGAAATATTATAAACTAAATGAAAAATTTTATTTTATGGGACAATTGCAAAAATGCCACTTTTGGGTTGTCTATTTGCAAAAATACCACTAGGGGTTGTAACATGTTATACCTTATAAACGAAGGTGTAATATGAAAATATATTTTTTAAAAATCATTTTAAGAAAATAGAATGAAAATATCTTCAAAAAAATCATTTTAGGAAAATAGAATGGATATATCTTAAAAAACACCATTTTAGGAAAATAGAATATTCACTTGTTCAAGATCCTAAATTTAATGAATTTTTTAAACTAACTTAGTAGAAAACACATTGTATCTTCGGTAGATAATAAATAATATGGTATAATTTATGTTTTGGATATGGTAGACGATAGACAATGTGGCGGAATGTGTACTCTGGATATGGTAGATGATAATGCAGACGGTGGAAAAAACATTCTATGAAAATGTAGAAGACAAAGTGATGTAGGAGACATTGAATAAAATGTTTCCTTTGTTTTAGTTAATTATTTTTCCTTTTTCTTTTGGGGCTTTGGATATTTTTTTAGGGTTTTGTTTTGCTATTTAAACACTTTTACTTCGTAGCTAAGGGGGATATCTTATTTTTTCTTAATAAAAATTTTAGAGTTTTCTCTTTTTGGTGGATTCCAAAACCCTATTTTGGTGGATTCCAGAGTTTTATCTTTCAAGTTCATCGCTTGTGAACTTGATTTTCATCTAGGTTTAACGCTTGCTTTTCCTAGGTTTTCCGACTGCGTCAAGTGTTATCAGAGTTTCTCCTGTCTCTTTTTGAAACTTGATCATGGGAGATCAACCAGCTACCAAAGCTGATCCTGATGGTTTCACTACGGCTATTACCGCTTTGAGCGCTCAGATCGCAAATCTAATGACTACTAACCAGAATCTGGTAGTTGAGATAAGAAACGCCAATAACAACAATCAACAAAGAAACAGAAGAGGAGAGTTGATTAGGGCTAACGAAAATCAACGAAGAGATGGGAGGAGGGAACCAATTAGGGTTCAACATGGTGGAAATAATCGTGATGCTATTGTCGAAAATTCAAGTTCTGAGGATGAAGAATTTGTGGAGGATGAGGTTGCTGAACAAGGAAATCGACAGAACGATCATGATTATCGAGTAAAAGCTGATATTCCATTGTTCTATGGAACTATGAGTGTGGAGGAGTTTCTAGATTGGCAGATCAATGTTGATCGATTCTTTGATGTCATGGGTGTTCCTGAGAATAAGCAAGTTAAGATGGTAGCAATCAGGCTGAAGAAAACTGTTGCTGTATGGTGGGATAAACTTGTTCTTCAGAGGCAAAGACAAAGGAAAGGGCCAGTTAGAACTTGGCGTCGTATGACACAGTTGATGCTGGAACGCTTTTTACCAGAAGACTACGAGCAAATTCTCTACAAGAGGTATCTTGATTGTGTTTAAGGCAAGAGGACTGTGACATAGTACACAGCCGAGTTCCTGCATTTCTCTGAACGCAATGACCTAGGAGAGACAGAGAACCAAAAAGTAACCCGATACATCAATGGTTTAAAAATTTCTATACAAGAGAAGATGGGTTTGCAAACTGTATGGACTGTGCAAGAGGCTTCTAGTCTAGCTTTGAAGGTGGAGCTAATTGAGAAGTCACCTCGTGGATTTCAGTCATATAAGAAGTACACACCTCATAACATCTTAGAATCAACAGGCGACAAGGAAAAGAGTGCAGTAAACAAGGATTTCAACCCTGGAAACAAAGGAGCTAGTAGTTCTAACCATACTCAACCGAGTAAAACACAAGCTCCGAGACAGAGTAACCCGTACGCGAGGCCATCAATTGACAGGTTTTTTCGTTGTCAGGGTCAGGGACACAAATCCAATGTTTGCCCGAGTAGAAGGACTGCTGCTCTTATAGAGAAAGAAGATGATGGATCTGAGGAGGATGATGAATATTCGGGGGTTGAATTTGCTGAACAAGAGTCAGATGAGAGGGTTAATATTGTGCTTCAGAGAATTTTGTTGTCAT